GGGGGGGGGGGGTCAAAGAGAATGATGGTATTTAGCCCCCAAGTCAAATACAATGAACAGATTTAAGAAAACGTTTGGGGGGGGGGGTTGTGGTTGGGTATCAATGGCGGATCCATAATATATCAATAGATACAGCCAAAAGGCATGGGATTGGATTGGCAAGGGCAGTGGCGTACCAAGAGGGGTGCCCCAGGTGCAAGGGGTGAAAAAAAAGTAAAATAGCAATATGTATAAAAATAGGCAGGTAGTAATAAATTAACAAAAAGGAAAGTAGTGTAATAAATAGAAAAAGGAAAGAAGTGATAAATTAAAAAAGTAAATTAGTCGTAATAAACAAAAATGAAAGTAGTACCTAATAATAAATAAGATAGTAGTATTAAATAATAAAGGAAAGTAGTAATAAATAAAAAAGCATACCCGGTAGTAGTAATACATACAAATAAAGTAAACTAGTATTCACTAGAAGTAATACATTTAAAAAAAATCTCATACCCCTTACATAGAAAAATTATTATTCAAACTCTCTAAACAGCTCTTTTAAACATACCAACAGATCAAGACGGCAAAGGACGATATAAGTTATATAGGTCAAACATTTTTATGTGTGGCTCATAGAATAACAACAAGTGGATACCCATCACTGATACCCCACCCATGAGTATGGTACTCCACTCATCAGCAGGATTCAGAACCCAACCATAAACATGATAATTCACACATCACTTTGACATCCCATCTGTCACAATGACCACACACACATCACCTTGACATCCCATCTGTCGCAATGATCACACACATCACCTTGACATCCCATCTGTCGCAATGATCACACACACATCACTTTGACATCCCATCTGTCACAATGACCACACACACATCACTTTGACATCACATCTGTCGCAATGATCACACACACATCACTTTGACATCCCATCTGTCACAATGACCACACACACATCACTTTGACATCACATCTGTCACAATGACCACACACACATCACTTTGACATCACATCTGTCGCAATGACCACACACACACACACATCACTTTTGTCAAACTATTTTCTTTGACCCACAAGCATTATAGGATTGAAAGCACAATCATTATGGGATTGAAAGCACAATCATTATGGGATTGAAAGCACAAGCATTATGGGATTGAAAGCACAAGCATTATGGGATTGAAAGCACACGCATTATGGGATTGAAAGCACAATCATTATGGGATTGAAAGCACAATCATTATGGGATTGAAAGCACAAGCATTATGGGATTGAAAGCACAATCATTATGGGATTGAAAGCACAAGCATTATAGGATTGAAAGCACAAGCATTATGGGATTGAAAGCACACGCATTATGGGATTGAAAGCACAAGCATTATGGGATTGAAAGCACAAGCATTATAGGATTGAAAGCACAAGCATTATAGGATTGAAAGCACAAGCATTATAGGATTGAAAGCACAAGCATTATGGGATTGAAAGCACAAGCATTATGGGATTGAAAGCACAAGCATTATAGGATTGAAAGCACAAGCATTATAGGATTGAAAGCACAAGCATTATAGGATTGAAAGCACAAGCATTATGGGATTGAAAGCACAAGCATTATAGGATTGAAAGCACAAGCATTATAGGATTGAAAGCACAAGCATTATAGGATTGAAAGCACAAGCATTATGGGATTGAAAGCACAAGCATTATAGGATTGAAAGCACAAGCATTATGGGATTGAAAGCACAAGCATTATAGGATTGAAAGCACACGCATTATGGGATTGAAAGCACAATCATTATGGGATTGAAAGCACAAGCATTATGGGATTGAAAGCACAAGCATTATGGGATTGAAAGCACACGCATTATGGGATTGAAAGCACAATCATTATGGGATTGAAAGCACAATCATTATGGGATTGAAAGCACAAGCATTATGGGATTGAAAGCACAATCATTATGGGATTGAAAGCACAAGCATTATAGGATTGAAAGCACAAGCATTATGGGATTGAAAGCACACGCATTATGGGATTGAAAGCACAAGCATTATGGGATTGAAAGCACAAGCATTATAGGATTGAAAGCACAAGCATTATAGGATTGAAAGCACAAGCATTATAGGATTGAAAGCACAAGCATTATGGGATTGAAAGCACAAGCATTATAGGATTGAAAGCACAAGCATTATAGGATTGAAAGCACAAGCATTATAGGATTGAAAGCACAAGCATTATAGGATTGAAAGCACAAGCATTATAGGATTGAAAGCACAAGCATTATAGGATTGAAAGCACAAGCATTATAGGATTGAAAGCACAAGCATTATAGGATTGAAAGCACAAGCATTATAGGATTGAAAGCACAAGCATTATAGGATTGAAAGCACAAGCATTATAGGATTGAAAGCACAAGCATTATAGGATTGAAAGCACAAGCATTATAGGATTGAAAGCACAAGCATTATAGGATTGAAAGCACAAGCATTATAGGATTGAAAGCACAAGCATTATAGGATTGAAAGCACAAGCATTATAGGATTGAAAGCACAAGCATTATAGGATTGAAAGCACAAGCATTATAGGATTGAAAGCACAAGCATTATAGGATTGAAAGCACAAGCATTATAGGATTGAAAGCACAAGCATTATAGGATTGAAAGCACAAGCATTATAGGATTGAAAGCACAAGCATTATAGGATTGAAAGCACAAGCATTATGGGATTGAAAGCACAAGCATTATGGGATTGAAAGCACAAGCATTATAGGATTGAAAGCACAAGCATTATGGGATTGAAAGCACAAGCATTATGGGATTGAAAGCACAAGCATTATAGGATTGAAAGCACAAGCATTATAGGATCGAAAGCACAAGCATTATAGGATTGAAAGCACAAGCATTATAGGATTGAAAGCACAATCTTTATAGGATTGAAAGCACAAGCATTATAGGATTGAAAGCCCAAGCCTTATGGGACTGAAAGCACAAGCATTATAGGATTGAAAGCACAAGCATTATGGGATTGAAAGCACAAGCATTATAGGATTGAAAGAACAAGCATTATGGGATTGAAAGAACAAGCATTATAGGATTGAAAGCACAAGCATTATAGGATTGAAAGAACAAGCATTATAGGATTGAAAGCCCAAGCCTTATGGGACTGAAAGCACACAGGTTCAGGATAAAGTTAAATTACAGACTTAAACTTAATCAAACAAAACACTTTTAACTTATGTACACAAGAGATTTTGTACTCAAGACAGTCTGTACACAAGACAGTTTGTATACAAGAGCTTTTTTATTTAAACACTAGTTAAAAATAATGACCACTTTTGTGGCACAGGATGACATGAAAAAGCATAAAAAGCATTTTAAAATTGATGGGACAGTGTACAAAATGATAATGGGAATGACATTTATACACAATGACACATCATGATCCCTTGTTACATCTGTTGTTGAAAGCCAAAACCATCATATTATATAAAATATTGAATTGTTTCATTCTTATTTACATACCAGAAAAGAACACACATCTACACACACACACCTACTCACACATCTACACACATCCACACACACATTTTACAAGGTTGTGTGCATGATTGAGTGCGTGGGGTAAGATGTTTGTAAACAGACTCCTAAAGCCTACGGTAAACTTCATCACCAAATCTCATGAAAACATCATTTATGATTACTATGTCAACTAATTTCTTTGAAAAAAAAATAATCACATTGAATTTTAAGGTCACATAAAAGTTCAAACTTGTTAACTTAATATTGAAACAATCCAAATTAATTAAATAATTAAAAATCTTTGATATTTCCAAATCCAACTAACCATAATCCAACAAACAACAATCCCCAACAAATACAACAATTTATATAAACTAATTTAAAAATTAAAATATAAACATATTATTCACTTGCCATGCTTTTAATTAAAAAATAGTAGCTATTCAAATTAAATCAGTGGCGGATTAAAAATCAGCTTGAAGAAAATGTAATATGAGTAAAAAAAAGTACGGTTAAACCTGAAAAAAAGGAACGCAACAAAACAACAAACGTGTCGGCAGAAAGCCTTTGTCAGTGAAAAAAACAACAGAAAAAAAATAGCACTTAGCTTAGAAGTAATATCCGAGGGCAGCAAATAAATTGTAGATTCATTTGCTGCCCACAGATACTACTTTCATTGTTCGTTGTTGTGTTGCGTTCCCTTTTTCAGGTTTAACCCTACTTTGTTTTACTCATTTTATATTTTGCTAACCTGATTGCAGTCTCTCCCCGTATTACCTTTTTAAAGAAAATTTAATTATTTTTCACTTTTAAACGAACCCACATGGTAAAATTTATTTTAAAAATTTCAATAACAACTTAAGTGTTTTTTCACAGAGAAGCAAATTTAAAAAAATGAATTTGTTTAAACGTATGTTTTTCTAAAAGTTATGCTAATTAATCTTGATCCAAATTCCAATAGAGGAATCTCATATTTATAACAACATTGAGTACAACATAAGAATAATTTAAGAGGCCCTGCCAAGAAACATGCTTACTTAAAATTTAGCATCATCTTTTCATACAATAATGACACCAACCCACTTGGCTGAATGCATGGACAAAGCTTGGAGGGCAGCCAGGCCTCACATTTGAGACCCTTGGTCACACCACATTTAAAAAAAAAAAAAGAACAAAAGAGCAGACACAAAGGGCTACAATCTAAAGAAATCAAGCCTACTAGCATATTCACACTTTTCTCCCTTGCATTTGTTTCTTTCATTGAACTCATTTGGCACAATTTCATTTTCTTTTCAATTGAGATTGCATCTGGTCCAGCATGGTCCTGTATATAGGTCATGGTGCTACATCTGGATCAGTGTGGTCCTGTATATAGGTCATGGCACTGCATCAGGGTCAGTGTGGTCCTTTATGTAGGTTATGGTGCTGAGCATGTTTATGTTTCCAAGCTTTCTTCCATACATTGGACAAGGACACAGTGGAGTGGAACCTGTAGGTGAGAAAAACAAGTCAAAGCTAAAAAAAAAGAATCATTTCCAGTCTGCACAGGAGGCCAGCTACCTAACCTTTCAAGGCCAGCTACCTAACCTTTCAAGGCCAGCTACCTAACCTTTCAAGGTCAGCTACCTAACCTTTCAAGGCCAGCTACCTAACCTTTCAAGGCCAGCTACCTAACCTTTCAAGGCCAGCTACCTAACCTTTCCAAAAAAAAAATTGCTACAGAAACGTCGACAAGAAGAAAATACGAAACAATTTCAGCTCTGATAAAAGAGTTATGAAGCCAAAACTAGGTCATTCTGGAAGCCTCAAATGACCCTCGTTTCAAAGGCAGTATTCACAGGTTCATCGAGTGTTAGATCCATGTACGAGACTGCAAATAAGTCACTTTCATGATGACACAGATGATAAATGAGGCATTGATAGGATGGGGAGCCCATTGTCCAAGAATTTTTACAGCATCATTCCGAACCATGAAGAAGAAAATCAATATGCATGTAATACAAACCTGGCCACCCAGCAACGAGAGTAAGGAAGTTGAAAAAAATAAAGTTTTCTACAATAGACTACAAGCTATTCTAGAAAAATTTCCAGGCAGAGATCTAAATATCGCAATGTGAGTTTGAAAGCTTTGATCTTAGTCAAATAGCAGAGAAGTGATCTTTCATTGTTAATACAGATTGAATGGTGCTGAAATGATTGTGAAACAACACCAGTCAAACAATCCCACTCAAGCAAAGTTAAATTAAATGTGGTTAAAAATAACATTAAAAAAATCCAACAAAGGTGAAGTGGTTGGACAATGCAGGAAGTTAAGTTGGGAAGGTTTTGAGGACATTTCAATATTTCTTTCGTGGAAAATGTTTTTTGTAGAGTAAAAGTCATTCTTTAGTAGTTATGCCAACATTGATGTTATAGAAGAGGGGTGGGAAAACTACAGCCGGTGGGCCATATGCGGGCCAGCAACTGATATTATGCGACCCTCGAAGGCATTTAGAAAAAAAAAATAACTTTGTTGTTAAGTTATTTTGTTGCATTTTACAGAATTTCATGTACAATTATGGTTGTTTTTAACATTGTTGATCAAATTTCTTTCTTATTATCTATTTTTTAAACAGTCCTTGACTTTAGTCATGTAATGCTAAAATGCGAATTTACTGATTTTAATATAGAGAAATGTTTACGACATGTACAAATTGGACACAATATACATGCGGCCCCCCAATAGCTTTACATTTGTCAATTTGACTCTCCGCACAAAAATTTTGCCCACCACTGTTATAGAACACTAAACATTTTTAAAGAAAAAAAGGTTTAATTAACCTTAATAAAAAAAAAAAGGCCACCCAATATGACCAAAAACTAACAAGACTTAAAGCATTGTATGCTTACCGGAAGTAGATTCCAAGAGGCACAGAAATATGGCTGAAAATGGCCCATGCTGTCGAGCCATAAAACTGAACCTGGAAAAGGCAAAACAAACAAATATATAGATTTATTTATCGCTGTGTCACAATAACACAAAAATGATGTTTGATCCTATCTATTCTATAGACAGAAGAATAAACTTATCCTGATACTATAATTATGTAGAACTCAGTCACATGTATGTATCTTAATTTAACAATTGAGTTCATTGGATTTCAACCTAACACATGCATTGATCATTAGTGTCAATTTTATTTTCTGTTTGCTACTGAATGTAGAAAACCTTTTACTTTGACATGCAATAATGTTTTTCCAACTTTCTTAACCTTAATAAATTCTTCCAACAAATTTTGGTAAATTGTCATGTTACACTTTAAACGAAAATGATTTTCCAACTTCATGCTAGCACTCTGTGATTACTTTCCCTGTTAACATTCCCTGTTAACATTCCCTGATAACATTCCCTGATAACATTCCCTGATAACATTCCCTGATAAAATTCATTGTTAACAATTCCTAACATTCCCTGTAAACATTTCCTAATAAAAAACATTCCTGATAAGAAATATTCCCTGCTAACGTTCCCTGTTAATTTTTCCTACTAACATTCCCTGCTAACAAACATTCCCTGCTAACAAACATTCCCTGCTAACATTGAATTGAATATTTATATAGCGCTTGTATCTGTGCTACTTTAGCATCCTCACAGGGCTTTGATGTTCTTAACATTCCCTGTTAACAAACATTCCCTGCAAACATTCCCAGCTAACAAACATTCCCTGCTAACATTCCCTGTTAACAAAAATTCCCTGCTAACATTCCTGTTAAAATTTCCTGCTAACTTCCCTTGCCAACATTTCCAAGGTACATTTTTATAGGGCTTAAAATATTTCAGGAGAAATAAATAAAGATGTGCCCAATGCAACAGTTAGGTGGGGGAGTGGGGTATGATAGCCTACCTGCACAACATTGTGTTCCATTCTCTGTGTCTCAAATGTGTTGATGGCCCACAGGGCAAAGTTGGCGATTAGTAAAAATGTCACATACTGTTTCCCTGGCTTATCTTCTATCTGAATGTGTAGTAAGATTAAAATAAATATCCATGATCCCTGTGTGTCCTGATAAGATACTTAAAAACGTTTTTTAAAATCTTTCATTTACAACAGAAATCCTGGTTACTCCCAGCAGCCCATCTTTATGCTAATATTATTATAATTGCTATTATTATTATAATAATTATTATTATTATATAATTATTATCATTATAATTATTATTATCATTATCATTTTTATCATCATGTACCATGCCCATGCCATAGAACTTTTGTGTACAAACACCGGAAATTAATTTGGACCACAGCCTGTTGCACAATCCAGGTAAACTCATAAAGTACTGTACGTAGTCTGACTAGACTGGTATGATGTGATCTGCAAACTCATTAATTAATAAATATGGAAGAATACACACCTGCAAAGACAAAGTGACCTCAGAGACTATAGTACACACTCTGTTCTATCTTTGAGAGGCCACAATTCTTTATAAGAAACATAAATTGTCACCTGTGAACGATGTGAGGCAGAGGCCCTTAGCGCCGCCAAGGTAAAAGTGGCCTGTGTGCTCGACTGTATCATCATGAGGAGATTGGTCAGTATGGTCAGTCCTCCTTCCAGGGTGTCCAAGTAAAACAGGGAAGCCACAATACTGAACATGCCATAGATCAACAGACCTGCAGAATAAAAAAAATCACGGAGATCTACAAAATATGTTCTAGATTTGCTTTCAGTGATGCACTTCAATATTTTCATGATTGTTACTTTTAAATAAACAATTAAGAATCTCAAGCTTTGAACCATATTTTAAAGGTCCACACGATTGACTCTTAGGACATCCATCTTGCCGCTATGATACAAGTTGTCAAAACGTTGTATCTGTTGTGTTGCAAATCATTCACTCATGGCAATGAGTGTCTACTCATCCAGCCAAGTCTCCCACTTGATCCCAGAACAGCACAACCAATCGTAATACTCTCCAATTCAACAAACACTCCACGGTTCGTTGCAATACATGAATTTATTTAAGAACACTTCCCTAAACCAGGGCTGTGACACAACTATGGATTACTAATTCAATCTGTTCAGCCCAACACACAGTAACTCAAGTCCAACAGTCAAAATACCACATCCGCCATCAATCCTCCATCACAACATCAACCAAAAACTAACGGTCATATCCCGTTACACAATTATGTCACAACACTCTCACACCCATGATACAGATACACATAAAATCTCTAACTAAACATCTTTTCCCTATCAAACATGAAAACAATGATCTACACATAACAACAGTGATTCTCATACCCTTGACACCAGTCAAAACTTACATACAACTGGGACTTAAAGATATGCATATTGAACAAGTGCCCCCCCCCCCCCCCCCCCCCCCCACCCCCCCCCAATAATTCTAGGATGCAAAAGTCACATACTTATTCAATATATCATATCACAATTAAATCAACATGAGGATCTCTTCAATCCTGGCCTCCCTGGCAAACGAGAAGTGCATCTGTCGCATGTGGAAGGCGGCCACAGATGTCGCTGCCAGGGCCAGAACGTAGATGATATCCTCAGAGATATGACCTGAAACAAAATAAATGGATCCATCAAAGTTTGTTTATTCCTGGTTCAGTGCTTAGCAAACAGAGAAAGAAGCAGAAATGGGGGACCTACAAATATAATACATTAACTGATTCCAGAAATAAATTTATTTTCCTGAAGCTTAAAAAAAAAAAAACAACTAAATTCAAAATTTTTAGGTGTATCAGATACAATTTGAAAAAAAAATATATATCTAAAGCCCTAGCTTAACTTCTTCTGTTGAGATTATCTATTTTTTTTATACTTTTAACAAAAATTGTGTTTGGTAATTTATAGTTATACTTTAAGCCCCTGTGGATGTTAGCTGACCTATTGTTATACTGTAACCCCCCGTGGATGTTAGCTTAGCTAGTGTTATACTTTCAACTGCGAGGTTGGTTAGTATCTTGCCAGTTTGTAATGTTATGGTTTTTGTCCAGGCACAACAGACTAATACAAACAAAAGCCTTCTCTATTAAGGTCGAAGAAAATAATTTCAATACATAGCCAGCTGGTAAACGGTACCTACTTAAAACTATGGCTGCAGCCAGCAGATAAACGGTATCCACTTAAAACTATGGATGCAGCCAGCAGATAAACGGTACCCACTTAAAACTATGGCTGCAGTCCTGTGCTCCTCTGAGCTGGCTAGCACATAGTAACAGATGAGACATATGACGCAGATGACAAAGAGAAAGATGCCCAGAAAAAGACCCCGGCTTGAGCCGGCGCAGTCCACACTCATAATGTTTGTCTTCTCCTCCTCATCCTCAGTGCTGTCTCGGGACAGGCCATCGTCCGAAGCCGTCTCGATGCTCTGCAGCCGCTTGCCACTGACAACGTCTCCGACGTTTGTCCACATTACATAAAGTACACCTTATAGGGAGACATTTAAAAACAAAAATTTGAAGCAATGTAGAATTGTATTTAATCTGTAAAAGAAATAATATTCATGATAGCTATTGTAATAGTCATGATAACAATAGTAAAAGTAGTGATAACAATTGTAATAGTCATGATAGCAATTGTAATGAATTAATGCTTAAGGCTAAACATCCATGAAAATAAAATGTGTCAAGTTAATTCAAAGTTTAAAAAAAAAAAGAACACATAATTCCTATCCAAGATCTTACCTACTGGGAAATAATGTTAGAAAAAACTAACCTTTGTTAGAGTAACACTTACATGCACACACAAGACTGTACTCAATGGTACAAGGGTACAGGTAGACCGAAGATTTCTCCACAATTTTCCCCATCATGGCATCAAAGTGACAGTCAAGCTCTGGAAGAGACCCTATGCCGTCCTCTGTGAAGCAAAATAGGTTTTGTGTTAAATTTAACATCAACTCACATGTAATGGGTAGGTTTTAGCTCCAAGTATTCCTATTTTAAAAAATGCATTTTCTTGTCACACCATACCTGTTTATTGACACACCATACCTGTTTATTGGCACACCATACCTGTTTATTGGCACACCATACCTGTTTATTGGCACACCATACCTGTTTATTGACACACCATACCTGTTTATTGGCACCCCATACCTGTTTATTGGCACACCATACCTGTTTATTGGCACACCATACCTGTTTATTGGCACACCATACCTGTTTATTGGCACACCATACCTGTTTATTGGCACACCATACCTGTTTATTGGCACACCATACCTGTTTATTGACACACCATACCTGTTTATTGGCACACCATACCTGTTTATTGACACACCATACCTGTTTATTGGAACTACATACATATTTATTGACACTACATACACATTTATTGACACATCATTCTTGTTTATTGTTTATAAATGATCCAAAACAGAAAAAGCAGACTTCAATCCAATTACATGAAAAATAAAATAATGGCGCTCTATAGATTGACACTGGAGGGTGCACCTCCAATGGACAGAAGCCAGTGGCCCCTTTGGATAGGATTGAAGGGTGCACCCGAAAAGATAATGAAGGCTGGGACTCCCTTAGATGTCTTAAGGGTGTGGGGGTGCCATATAAAATTACAGAAGTGAAGTGCCCCCTTCATTGCACTGACTTGTATTTCTTATAACAAAGTAACATAATTTTTTTTTAAAAATGGTGTAATAAGAAGAAAACTGAAGAAGCCACCAACCATCGTGAAATGTTGTTAGTGCTGGGGACCTGACCGTGGTGTTTTGCAACGTTAAGGCAGTAGAGTTCATGACTTGTGACATAACGGTCATCTCACGTTTCTTCCTCTCCTCCATCTCAATGACATGCAGCGTCTCGACAACGATCGACCTCAGCCAGACGCAGATGTTGGTGCCGCTCATGTGGATCAGACCGAACCTGGCCAATGTCTTGTATTTGTGGACGCACATCTGAAACAGGCGATAGATTTGTACTTGCGGTTAGATACTCGGAAACAAAGACAACGTATGTGGAGCTTCATTGTTGGACACACAGCGATATCAGAAGATGGAGTTGAATTTTTTTAACAAACATCTCTCATGATAAATCCTTAGTTGAGGTTATCTGCCCTGGTCAAGAAAGGTAATAAGGTTTAAGCCCTTTTAATAGTTTTTACGGCTTACCTCCCTCAATTAAAACTCCAGCAGTAAAAATTGATGTATCATTTCAATTTTTAAAAACAATTTATCTTATATATGGCATTGCCTTATTAGCAATATCGAGGGTGGGGGAGGGGGAAGATACAACAATGCTTAGTATTTCTCAGGGTCAATGTGGTTGCATTGGCCCAGCTAGTCTGTTGTAAAGAAATATATATTTTTTAAAGAATTTTTTGTTTTTAGCTGAAATTGAAATAAAAAGTTTCTGTTTATTTTGTTTCTAGGTCTTAATGCCAAGGAACTAAACATAATAAATTTTATCTGTTTTATGCCTGGCCATGAATCATTAACATAAATAAGTGGTCGTGTATCATTAATATAAATAAATGATCCTGTATCATATTGCATATTGTTAATATAAATAAATGGTAATACATTTGTGTATCATTAATATAAGTAAATGGCTGTGTATCATTAATATAAATAAATGTTCATGTATCATTAATATAAATAAATGTTCGTGTATCTTTAACATAAATAAACAGTTGTTTATCATTAATATAAGTAAATGGTTGCGTATCGTTAATATAAATAAATGGTCATGTATCATTAATATAAATAAAATCAGTGTCAAAATTTCAGGAATCATCTCGCAAATAAAATATTTTTTTATTTTCAAATAGATTTTGTGAAGGATAGTCTAATTTTAGGACAATCATATCTTACTTTGGAGTTCATGAACACAAAGTACATCTGTATGAAGGTGAAGCACAGGTGGGCCACAGGTTTGATGGCTTGCAGAATGTCGCTACACGGGTGGCCGATGTGGTTGATCTCAAAGTAATGACCAAAGATCAAACCACTGTGGAGCATGCTGCCTATGCCAAACCCTAGAGGACATAATCAAAGAATTAATATTGAACATTTATGTACAGGTTTTAAAAAAACAAAAAAAAACAAAAAAACAAGACAAATTGAATTGCATTATATGATCATTGTGAGGTGTTTTAGACGTGGGAAGAGATAGATTCAGCATTCCTCCCACATCTCCACAGCTCCATAATTCGTTTTCATTGCACCACATCTGTGTTAAAAAAGAGAACATGCATCATTTAGAGTAGCTTCTCAAAACAATGAATCCAACATGGTTGTCTTATGATCTTCTCTCCATTTTCTGTATTTGTTTGACTAAATCAGTATGTCTGTGTGGTGTGCAGCTTTCTCATAACACGGTTGAGTGCACTCATTTATCATTCAGAGTTGTTGATGTTGTTTATGTGTTTTTTTAAAATTTATGTTGTTTATGTAAATTATATTGTTTATGCTTTTTTATGTTGTTTATGTAAATTATATTGTTTATGTTGTTCAGCAGGGTAAATTATCTCAAGGGGAAATTTAATAACACAGCTAGGTTACAGGTTTCAACAGCTGATTTATGGAAAAAAAAAGGGGGGGGGGCAACAAATTGTAGCTCTAACAATGAAAAATTTCAATGTAGAGGAAGTATAGACATATTAGTACCGAGGTGTCACAATATATAGCAAGTATAGACATATTAGTACCGAGGTGTCACAGTATATAGCAAGTATAGACATATTAGTACCGAGGTGTCACAGTATATAGCAAGTATAGACATATTAGTACCAAGGTGTACAGTATAGAGCAAGTATAGACATATAAGTACCTAGGTGTCACAGTATATAGCAAGTATAGACATATTGTTATTAGTTTTTGTAGTGTTGCGTTTGTTTTAAATGTGGTAAATTATAGATTTTTTACTCTTGTACCGCGCTTAGAGCCTTTGGGGATGAAGCGTGTTTTTGAAATACACTTAATTATTATTATTATTAGTACGGAGGTGTCACAGTATGAGGTGTCACAGTATATAGCAAATATAGACACATTAGTACCTATGTATCATGGTATATAGCAAGCATAGACATATTAGTACCTTGATGTCATGGTATAGAGCAAGTATAGACATATTAGTACTGAGGTGTCACAGTATATAGCAAGTATAGACATATTAGTACCTAGGTGTCACAGTATATAGAAAGTATAGACATATTAGTACCAAGGTGTCACGGTATAGAGCAAGCATCAACATATTTATACCGAGGTGTCACAGTATAGAGCAAGTATAGACATATTAGTACCGAGGTGTCACAGTAAAGCAAGTATAGACATATTAGTACCTAGGTGTCATAGTTAGAGCAAGTATAGACATATTAGTACCAAGGTGTCACAGAATATAGCAAGTAGAGACATATTAGTACCTAGGTGTCACAGTATATAGCAAGTATAGACATATAAGTACCAAGGTGTCACAGGTGTCACAGTATGTAGCAAGTATAGACATATTAGTACCCAGGTGTCACAGTATAGAGCAAGTAGAAAGATATTTTGCTGTTTAACATTGCATAAATGTTTCAAAATTTTGTGATTTCATCACATGAAGTATCCCTCTCAGCCTTATAATTAGTATTACAATCAGCCTTGTAATCTCAGCATAATAATTAGTCTAGTGAATTTAACCCTACTGCATTACAGCACAAGCTCTTGGTTTAGAAACATCTCCTGCATTCCTGTTGTAAAAATGCTTAAAAAATTTAAATGCAAAGAAACCTGTATTTCTGAAACTTCCTGCACCCCTAAAACTACCCCCCGCACCCCCAGGGTTGGTGGCCCCTGCACCCCCAGGGTTGGTGGCGTTAGCTTAAAACAACCCTGGTCTAAAACAACATCTGAAACATTGACTAAAAAATGCCTGAGTGTAAATTAAAAAACAAAACAACATGATGACAAAATGTAGCTATAATCAATAACTCACCAATAACTCACCAATAACTCACCAATAACTCACCAATAACTCACCAATAACTCACCAATAACTCACCAATAACTCCTACTCTCAGATAGAAACTTCCTGTGTGATTGGACGCCTCAGAGTTGTACCCTATTTTCCTCCTCCTGCTTCTGTTTGAGTATGAGCTGGCGATGCTGTTACTTTTGATGCTGCCACGGGCTGACAGAAGGGGTTTGGGGTTCGTACCTCTGGCCTGAGATGAGGACCCTTTATCAAAAGAATTCCTCCTGGATGAACGCTTGCGGGATGAAAGAAAAATAAGTAGATCCAAATGTATTGTTTTGGAGAGTATCGTTTGAGTAGGGGGGAAATGGGTAGGTGCTTGGCAGAATGGGGTTGTGAGATGTTTGGGTAGTGGGATGTTTGGGTAGTGGGATGTTTGGGTAGTGGGATGTTTGGGTAGTGGGATGTTTGGGTAGTGGGATGTTTGGGTAGTGGGATGTTTGGGTAGTGGGATGTTTGGGTAGTGGGATATTGGGGCAGAAGGTGTTTGGTGAGTGGAGTGTTTTGGGACCAGGCTGTTTGGGGAGTAGGATGTTTGGTGAGTAGGATGTTTGGGAGTAGGATGTTTGGGGAGTAGGATGTTTGGTGAGTAGGATGTTTGGGAGTACAATGTTTGGGGAGTAGGATGTTTGGCTAGCAGGATGTTTGGGGAGTAGGATTTTTGGTAAGATATTTGGGAAGTAGGTTGTTTGGGGAGTAGGATGTTTGGTAAGATGTTTGGGGAGTAGGATGCTTGGGGAGTAGGATGTTTGTGGAGCAGGATGTTATGTAGACCAGGATGTTTGGGGAGTAGGATGTTTGGGGAGTATGATGTTTGTGGAGCAGGATGTTATGTAGACCAGGATGTTTGGGGAGTAGGATGTTTGGGTAGTAGGATGTTTGGGTAACAGGATGTTTTTTTAAAAGGCCTGAGTTTCACCTGAGCTGTTGGTGGTACAGGTAAGCACTTGTTGGTCAGACAAGGGTGGAAATAGGCACTAGTGGAATGTTATATTATTCATATGTTTTAAATGCCCTATCTCCACTGAGCACAAAACAGTTGTGACGTATGTTTCAGACAGTCTAGAGAAGGTCCTACCTGGGATGATGTCCTACTGAATCTACCAGAGAGTCTAGAGAATGTCCTGGGCAGTGAGAGAAGACTAAGCCTCTCTCTCCTCAACAAGTAGGTGTAGACATATACCAGGAAAATCATACTGACCCCGTAAAGATACAGGTAAAATGTCTGTTCAAAGAGAAAATCAATTTTTTTTAAAGTTAACAGAATGTCACACTGATGATAAGTGTAATGATCTATGTGATGATAGGTGTGATGATAGGTCTGATGATAGGTGTGATGATAGGTGTGATGATAGGTGTGATGATAGGTGTGATGATAGGTGTGATGTGATGATAGCTGTGATGATAGGTGTGATGATAGGTGTAATGAAAGGTGTGATGATAGGTGTAATGATAGATGTGAATATAGGTGTAAGGTTAGGTATAATAATAGATGTGAATATAGGTGTAAGGATAGGTGTGATGATAGGTGTAATTATAGGTGTGATGATAGATGAGATGATAAGTGTAATGATAGGTGTGATGATAGATGTAATGATAGGTGTATTGACAAGTGTATTGACATGTGTAATGATAGGTGTGATGATAGGTGTGATGATAGGTGTGATGATAGGTGTAATGATAGGTGCAATGTTAGGTGCTATGATAGGTGCTATGATAGGTGTTATGATAGGTGTTATGATAGGTGTTATGATAGGTGTGATGATAGGTGTAATGATAGGTGTAATGATAGGTGTAATGATAGGTGTAATGATAGGTGTGATGATAGGTGTGATGATAGGTGTGATGATAGGTGTGATTATAGGTGTAATGATAGGTGTAATGATAGGTGTGATGATAGGTGTGATGATAGGTGTGATGATAGGTGTGATGATAGGTGTGATGATAGGTGTGATGATAGATGTAATGATAGGTGTAATGATAGGTGTAATGATAGGTGTTATGATAGGTGTTATGATAGGTGTTATGATAGGTGTAATGATAGGTGTGATGATAGGTGTAATTATAGGTATAATGATAGGTGTAATGATAGGTGTAATGATAGGTGTAATTATAGGTGTAATGATAGGTGTAATGATAGGTGTAATGATAGGTGTAATGATAGGTGTAATGATAGGTGTAATGATAGGTGTAATGATAGGTGTGATGATATGTGTAATGATAGGTGTAATGATAGGTGTGATGATAGGTGTGATGATAGGTGTGATGATAGATGTAATGATAGGTGTAATGATAGGTGTAATGATAGGTGTTATGATAGGTGTGATGATAGGTGTGATGATAGGTGTAATGATAGGTGTAAGGAGACAAAAATGCAAAGAACACCCCATCCCTATCCCCTTACCAGCATAAAAAATATAATATAAAAATCCTGGATTTTAACTATCCTGTGGTGTTACACAACCCTTGATGTTACACAACCCTTGATGTTGCACAACCCTTGATGTTGCACAACCCTTGATGTTACACAACCCTTGATGTTACACAACCCTTGATGTTACACAACCCTTGATGTTACACAACCCTTGATGTTACACAACCCTTGATGTTACACAACCCTTGATGTTACACAACCCATGATGTCACACAACCCGTGATGTCACACGTGATATGGTTTGAGGAGGCAGTAGAGTATTCTCACTCACGTTTATATGTTATATTTAGAGTTAAGTCACATGACACCCCATACCACCAGGTAACACCAAATACCACTATTTAACACCACATGCCACCATGAAACATCTTATCCCACCATACACACTATGTAACACCTCATAACACCATGTATCGCCATAGACCAATTTACACCACATACTACCACATACCACAATGTAACACCACATACCACCATGTCACACCATATGTCACCAAAACACATCACCATATGCTAGCAAACTGACCTCAAAGAAGTAGGAATTCTGGGGTTTGGCATAGGTTTCAGATATGGGCAGCACCAGACCAAGCACCACAAGAATGACACCGTAGAGACCACTCAACATAATCACTAGGCTGTTCCTGTGGCAAAGAAACAAGGGTGTTGACAAAACCAAATAACGGAATCTTAATAATCTGGTTATTGTCAAGGAACCACCACCCACCACAGTGACGTCATTCCCTACTTTAAATAAAAAGACCATCAGCTACATTTGTAAGATTACACATTTAACACACCTAAAGATTACATTTAACACATCAAAAGATTACATTGAACACACCTAAAGATTACATTTAACACACCAAAAGATTACATTGAACACATCTAAAGATTACATTTAACATATCTAAAGATTAGATTGAGCACATCTGAAGATTACATTTAACACACCAAAAGATTACATTGAACACATCTAAAGATTACATTTAACACATCTAAAGATTAGATTGAACACATCTAAAGATTACATTTAACACACCAAAAGATTACATTTAACACACACTTCTATGGTAAAAAGAAAAGAAAGAAACTTCTTAAATAATTAATCAGGATGTTTCTACATTCTACACGATGAACATAAACTTTGCCTGTTACAATGACCATAATAATGGCAGTAACTATGGTCGTAACAATGGCCGTATAATGGCAGTAACAATGACTGTAACAATGGCCTTAACCACGGCCTTAACAATGGCTGTAACAATGGTTGTAACAATGATAGTAACAATGGCCATAACAACAACAGTAACAATGGCCGTAACAATGGCCATAACAATGGCGATAACAATGACCGTAACAATGGCCATAACAATGGCCGTAACAATGACCACAACACAATTTGTAACAAAGACCATAACAATGACCTTAAAAACGACAGTAACAATGACCATAACAATGGCCATAACACTTTTTGTAACAATGACCATAACAATGACCTTAAAAACGACAGTAACAATCACCATAACACTATTTGTAACAATGACCATAAAAATGACCTTAAAAATGACAGTAACAATGACCATAACACTATTTGTAACAATGACAATAACAATGACTATAACCACTATCCGTAACAATGACCATAACAATGACCGTAACAATGGTTGTAACAATGACCATAACAATGACCATAACAATGGCCAAAATAATGACCATAACAATGATTATAACAATGGCCAAAATAATGACCATAACAATGACCATAACAATGACCATAACAATGACCATCACAAAGACCATCACAATGACCATCACAATGACCATCACAATGACCATAACAAAGACCATCACAATGACCATCACAATGACCATCACAATGACTATCACAATGACCATCACAATGACCATCACAATGACCATAACAATGACCATAACAATGACCATAACAATGACCATAACAATGGCCTTACAATGACCATCACAATGACAATCACAATGACCATCACAATGACCATCACAATGACCATCACAATGACCATCACAATGACCATCACAATGACCATCACAATGACCATCACAATGACCATCACAATGACCATCACAATGACCATCACAATGACTGTTACAATGACTGTTACAATGACCATAACTGTACTAATGGTCATCCTTACTTCAACTTTTCAGATATCCTTGCCGACTTCTCCACACTTGTTCCTCTCTTGGTTGTGAACACGTCATCAGACTCAGAGTCATCTATTGTACCGGACACACCTCCTAGTGACGCCACTGCGGCAGAAAGAAATAACAATGTTTTAATGATTGTGCATGTCAAGGCCAATCCATGTGTTGAGGTACCTGCTACTGTCATCTTTCAATTTATATATAGAGATAATCACCTGATACTGTCAATCTATAGGTAGAGGTAATCAACTGATATTTGTCAATCTATAGGTAGAGGTAATACTGTCAATCCATATGTAGAGATGGAACTATAATATGTTATGTGTGGCCCTGGCGGCCCATATATCACCAACCCTGGCGGTCCATATATCAGCAACCCTGGAGGCCCATATATCACCAACCCTGGTGGCTCATATATCACCAACCCTGGCAGCTCATAAATCACCAACCCTGGCGACCCATATATCACCAACCCTGGCGGCCCATACATCACCAACCCTGGTGGTCCTTATATCACCAACCCTGGAGGCCCACATATCACCAAGCCTGGCAGCCCATATATCACCAAGCCTGGCGGCCCATATATTGCCAAGCCTGGCAGCCCATATATCACCAACCCTGGCGCCCATATATCCCCAACCCTGGTGGTCCACATATCACCAACCCTGGTGGTCCATATATCACCAACTCTGGAGACCCACATATCACCAACCCTGGTGGTCCATATATCACCAACTCTGGAGACCCACATATCACCAACCCTGGAGGCCCATATATCACCAACCCTGGCGGCCTACACATCACCAACCCTGGCTGTCCACATATCACCAACCCTGGAGGCCAATATATCACCAACCCTGGTGGTCCATATATCACCAACCCTGGTGGTCCACATATCACCAACCCTGGCGGTCCACATATCACCAATCCTGGCGGTCCACATATCACCAAGCCTGGAGGCCAATATATCACCAACCCTGGTGGTCCATATATCACCAACCCTGGTGGTCCACATATCACCAACCCTGGCGGTCCACATATCACCAATCCTGGCGGTCCACATATCACCAATCCTGGCGGTCCACATATCACCAACCCTGGAGGCGAATATATCACCAACCCTGGTGGTCCATATATCACCAACCCTGGCGGTCCACATATCACCAATCCTGGCGGTCCACATAACACCAATCCTGGCGGTCCACATGTCACCAACCCTGGAGGCGAACATATCACCAATCCTGGCGGTCCACATACCCCCAACCCTGGCGGACCACACATCNATCACCAATCCTGGCGGTCCACATAACACCAATCCTGGCGGTCCACATGTCACCAACCCTGGCGGCCAATATACCACCAAGCCTGGCGGTCCACATACCACCAACCCTGGCGGTCCACATATCACCAATCCTGGCGGTCCACATACCACCAACCCTGGCGGTCCACATATCACCAATCCTGGCGGTCCACATAACACCACAGTTAAAATAAATCAGTCTCATTGGGATTGTATCGAAAACTACCAGATGTGAGGGGAATTGGGGGTCCAGTCGGGGGGGGGGGTGGGGGGGCACGCAGACCCTCCACATGTCATTCTCTACTAA